GATGAAGGCTAGCCGTAAGCGTCAGCGACCGGAGTGAACCACGTTGGATACACCTACCGGCTCCCCGACGAACGCGCTGCGTAATCACCTCCCATCAAAGCAAAAAAGGGCGTCGCCGACGAGTCGGCGACGCCCTTGATGGGAATTAACTTCAGAGTTCGTAGCGCGTCAGATCGTCCGCGACGTGGCCGATACGTAGGGGTTGATGATCATCAGCGGGCCGGTCGGCAGCTGTTTGACCGCTCCGGGTTGGCCATCTTCACCGTGGCTGATCGTGCGGTTGCGGATCGTTTTGCTAGTGGTCTTGCTCTTAGGCGCCGACTCTTCTGTCGAGCTCGGCACGTAGGGGTTGATGATCTCAACCGGTTGGACGCAGCCGCCGGCGACTTCCGGCGTGCGGGTGTCCGGCGTGTACGCGAACGGGCTGTAGCCGTAGGTCCGCGGCACGGGCGTGCTGTAGTAGACCGGTGGGTGGGCGGCGAAGTACGGGACGCGGCGTTCGATCGGGTAGTCGAGCGAGCGGTACAGTTGGCCGATGCCGATGCCGGCGCCAGTCCACCAGTAGGCGTTGGCGGCGGATGACGAGAAGATGCCGCAAGAGGCGAGGGCGGCGAGCAGGAGGGGGTAACGCATGGCGGGCGGTCTCGTAAGCTGAGGAGGGCTCGTGAGCGGTGAGGTGGGGAGCCGGTTAGCTCACTCCACGCTAATTGCGGCCGCGGCCGGGTCCAAATAATTCTGGCGCCGGGGTCCGATTACGCGGCCTAGACCCGCCAATTCCGGTTGTAAGCCCTCCAAACGGCCCGCGTCGCCCTCTTACGAAGCCCGATGAACGACGCCGAGTTGACCCGACGCGTGAAGGCCCTGGCGGGGGAGGCTGGCTTTTCAATGGCTGGCGTGGCCCCCGCGGTGACGCCGACGGGATTCGCTCGGCTCGGCGAGTGGCTCGCGGCGGGCTACGTGGGTGAGATGCATTACATCGCCGAACGTCTGGAAGACTATGCGCACCCCGAGCGGCTGCTCGACGGCGCTCGGAGCGTGCTGATGTTTGCGCTCGATTACCGAACCGCCGAGCCGCAAGCTCCGCAGCTGGGTGAGGGACGCGTCTCGCGCTACGCATGGGGCGCCCGTGATTACCACGACATCGTGCGCAAGAAGCTCTACAGGATCGCCGACGCGATCAAAGAGTGGCGGCCGGGATCGAACACGCGCTGTATCATCGACACAGCGCCGCTACTCGAACGCGAATTTGCGGTTCTTGCCGGCCTCGGCTGGGTCGGCAAGAACACGCTGGTGCTCAACAAGAGCCGGGGTAGCTACTTCTTCTTGGCGTCGGTGCTAACCGACACGCCGCTCGATTACGACACGCCGCACGAGACCGACCACTGCGGCACGTGCACGGCGTGCCTCGACGCTTGCCCCACGCAGGCGTTTGTCGCGCCGCGGCTGCTGGACGCGTCACGCTGCATCAGCTACTTGACGATCGAGCATCCCGACCTGCCATCGCCCGATCTGCGTGAAGGTCTCGGCGAATGGCTCTTTGGTTGCGACGTTTGCCAAGACGTTTGCCCTTGGAACCGGCATTCGCAACCGGCGACCGAACAAGCACTCTGGCCACTTAAAGAGAGCAATCCCCTTAAGCTGGCGCCGCTGTTTGAGCTCGATGACGACGCGTTCCGCCGACGCTTCTTGAAGACGCCGCTCTGGCGTCCGAAGCGACGGGGCCTCTTACGCAACGCCGCCCTAGTGCTCGGCGCCACCCGCGCGGCGGGTTCTGAAGCGGCCCTCGCCCGCGGTTTACGCGACAGCGAGCCGCTGGTTAGGGCGGCGGCGGCCTGGGCGCTGGGACGATTGGGTACCGAAGCGGCGGTCTCGGCGCTGAATCGACATTCACTGCTCGAAGGAGACGATTCCGTCCGCGACGAGATTTCCGCAGCGCTCGACCTCAACAAGACCCCCCGGCGGTAGGCGGCAGCCAACGGCGCAGCGGGCCCAGTTCAGCTACCGCCGTGGGCTTCCGCCCTCGGCTAAGACTTTTCTTTACGGGTTGACGCTTTCGAGACGGCAAAAACAATCGCTGGTATGACGACCCTCGCGCCCACCCCCCTGAAGCCGCTAAGAATCGGCAACCTCGAAATCGGCTTCCCAATCGTCCAGGCGGCGCTGTCGGGCTACAGCGACTCGCCGATGCGGACGCTCGCCCGGCGGCACGGGGCGTCGTACTCGCTGTGCGAGGTGATGCTGGACCAGTTCCTCGTTCACATCAAGATCCGCAACAAGACGCGACATCTGCTGCACATCTCGCCCGAAGAGCACCCCGTTGGCGGGCAGCTCATGGGCGCCGAGCCGGAGGACTTCGGGCCCGCCGCCCAGCGACTGTCGGACGCGGGTTTCGATGTGATCGACATCAACTTCGGATGCCCCGTGAAGAAAGTGCTCGGGCGCTGCCGCGGCGGGTTCCATCTCAGTCAGCCCGACGTGGCGATCGAGATCATCCAGCGCGTCCGCGATGCGGTTCCGGCGGAAAAGCCCGTCACTGTGAAGATGCGTCGCGGCGTTGACGACACACCCGAAAGCCGTGACAAGTTCTTCACGATCTTCGACCGTGCCTACGAGCTTGGGGTCGCAGCGGTCACGGTGCACGGCCGCACGGTGACGCAGCGCTACATCGGCCCGTCGCGGTGGGACTTCTTGCGGGAGCTGAAGCAGCACGCCGGCGACCGAGTCGTGCTCGGCAGCGGCGACCTGTTTAGCGCGCAGGCGTGTCTCGACATGATCGCCTACACGGGCGTCGATGGTGTGACGGTTGCGCGCGGCGCGATCGGCAACCCGTGGGTCTTCCAGCAAGCAGCCGAACTCGCCGCCGGTCGGCCGCTCCCCGACCCGCCGTCGCTGCACGAGCAGCGCGACGTGATCGCCGAACACTACCGGTTGGCGGAAGAGCTCTACGGCGCCGAGCGTTGCGTGCCCGACATGCGGAAGTTCGCGATCAAGTACGCGCAGCTCCACCCGCAGCATCTCGACGTGCGGGCCGACTTTGTGAAAGTCAAAGGCGCCGGTCAGTGGCGCACCGTGCTCGACCGCTGGTACGCCGAGGACTTGCCGGGCGTGCATCCCACGGTTGAAGAGCCGAACCCGCTGGCGACGACGCCTGAATTGGCGACAGTTGAATGAACCTCGGATAGCACGGATGGAGTTGCCGCCGGCTCATCGTGGAATCTGTGGTTCGAAAGTGGGCAGGGCGTTATTCGGTCCACGTGATTCCCGGTCGCAAGCCGATGAGGTTGGCGGCATTGGCGATGGCGGGCGTTCCGGTGTGCTCCGCGACCTGCCGCTTGCGGCTTAGCGGTGACGTGGCCGACTCATCAATAACGCGGACCCGACCCGTGAGCGGATAGCGTTCCAACAGTCCCATCGCGATCGCCGCGACGATGCGGTTCTGTGGGTAGATCGGCGCGCCGGTTTCGGCGAGCGCCCACTCGTTGAGTCGGACGCGACGCCAAGGCCCCTCGCTCGACTCTTCGATGTGGGGCTGGAGTGACTTGGGCAGTCGATCAGCGGAGCCGGTATGGATGAAGAGCGTCGCTCGTTCGCCGCGGGGGGCGTAGAGGGCCCAGCCGGGCCATTGGTCCCAGAGGCCCAAAGGGGTCAAGGCGGGGGCGATCACCGCTAAGCCGCATGCGGCTATTGCGACGCGTGAAAATCGAGTCACACGCTCGCTATTCTCGTCGGCCCTTGGCCAGAAGAGGATTACGGTTTGCGCCGCGAAGCCGACATTCCAAAGCAGCACGCCTAGCGAGTGACCCAGCGCCCAAGGCCCGAGCACCGCGATCGTCGCCGTGTGCATGGCGATTACGGCGATGCAGGCAACTTTGCGTAGTCGATCCACTCGGAGGGACGCAGCGAGCAACGCGGCAACGGCGAGCTCAACGCTTGGAACTAGTAACGCGATCGCAACGCGAGTGGCGCCCGACCAACTCGTCAGATCGAGGCCGGCGGCGGCGAGCATCTGTTGGCCGAGCGTCGAGGCAAACTCGACGTCGAGCTTCGCGATGGAAGAGTACGCATAAACGGCGATGGCGACGATCCGTAACAAGCGGAAGGCTTGCGTCGAGGCAGAGTTCGACAGGATGACTCCCACGATCACCGCGTTGTACGCCCAGGGCTGCCAACGCAGTTGGTCGAGGAGCATCAGAGCGGTTAGTGCGACCGTCGCGATGAGAACGCCCAAACGATTGATGGCGAACCCACGATATAGATCGTGGGTGTGAACTGGGTACTGAGTTTCCACCCCCGATTGACATCGGGGGCTCGCCTTAAGCTCGCTTGTGAATGCTGCACGGAGCGTCCGCAGCAAGCCGTAGGCGAGTAGCGCAAGTAGCGCGAAATCAATCGCCGGCGGGATCGCTTCAACAGCTTCCAGCGGCGCGAGGCGTGGCGTGCCGCGCAACGGCGTCCACAATCGCCACGTGGCGGCGAGCAGCACCACGATCGTGCCGGACCAGGCGGATACCAGAGCGGTGATACGGTCGGCGGCGAGCTGTCGCTTGGTCATCCCGCTAGACTACCACGACGAGCCTTGGCCTACCGCCACCAGCGTGGCATGTATCCCCTTAGGCGTTCGCTCAGCGTCGGCGTCGCTTCTTCCTCTGGGGTCGCATCCTGTGGCGGCTTCGTCGGCGCGGACTCATTGACGACTGTAGAGGACGCCTCGCGTCGGGGATAATTCTCGATGAGGAAGCGAGCCCAGTAGCTGTCGAGCTGCGTGCGGCATGCTTCGAGACGGCCCTCATCGAGAAGCGTCTGCGAGGTCTGTAGCAACCGGACGATCGCGAATCGCTCGGCGCGCATGTCGATGCCGCCTTGCCCGTCGAGCGGCAAGACGAGGTCTTCGGGCCGCAAGTCGTCGATGCTGAGCTCACCATCGCCTACCAGAGTGAACCGCAGCCGCATCTCGCCGGGAGTGCCGAGCGGCAAGTCATCCATCGGAAACACAATCGGCAACCACTTGGCGGAAGTGGATGCGTCTCCGGTTGGGGGCGAAAGGCGATCCGAAGCCGCCCGGGCGTGATTCCTATAGGGGCCATCGACTTGCTCGAGTTCGATCCGCAGCTCGCAGCCCGGTTGTAGCTCGTGGGGAAGCACCCGCAGCCCGAGGGCAAGTTGACCCGTGGAGGGCGCCGCGAACGTTTCGCTGCTCAAGGTCGCGGGCTGATTAGCTGTCGCCTGCATCCGCACCGAGGTGGCGCCATCGGCGGCGACGGTGGAGTCAACCGAAGCGCCCTCGCCAAGACGCCAACCGACGGGCTGGGATCCGTCATCGACGCCGGTCTGTCGCTCCTCGAACGACGGATTCAATACACGCGCGAACGGACGTCGCTTCGTCGTATCTCGGCTCTGCAAGTCGGCGAGCCCTTCGGCGAGTTCACGCAGCGCCGCTGGTTCGGGATCGACGCGTACGCCGGTGACGCGCACCCCGCTTGCGGCGAAGCGCCACGCGGCGCTCTGGTAGGGCGCAAGCTCGAGGTCGAGCACATGCTCACCTGCGTCGAACCACTGGCCGGCCACCGCAAGTGGCGTGGCGAGACTCGTTGGATTGACCGCAAGCCCACGCAGGCGCTGCGGCGTCTGGATGGTGACTTGGGCACGACGAGACCAAGCCGATTGGTTAGTAACGATCGCCAGGGAACCACTATCGCGAATATCGTAAGCGTACGCGTTGATGTCGCGGGACGTGGCGAGGTCGGCGGCTGTCTGGCTTTCGGGCGCCGGGAGGGCGGGGATCGCTGCATGGAGTTGCCGGCGTTCGATAGCGGCGTCGTCGAGCCAGCCGGCCGAGGCTTCGCCGTCGAGCGTTACGATTCGCACGCCGTCGTCGATTGCCGACGCGAGTAACGCGGGCTCCGCCGTTGGCGCGACGGCGATCGCGGGGAGCAGGATTTCGCCTAGGGTCGATCCGCCCGCCCCGCGGAGCCGTTTCTCCGATTCGATCAGCCGCAGAGGGAAGTTGCTCGTGCGGAGCGATCGGGCGATACGGCCAACCTCAACTGGCAGGGATCGACGTAACCCCGTTAGCACGATGTCGGTCGCCAAGTCGCCGCGTTGTCGGGCCTCGGGCGCGACTGCGCCGAAGGGGGCCGAGACGATCGTCGCCGTTGAGTGGCTGGCGACAGACGTCAATCCACTCTTAGCGATGTACGCGCTCGCTCCATCGGCTGAAGCCCCAAGCTTCGGGAGTAAATGTCGAGACACTTCGGGCGCAGTCGTCAACTCACTGGAGAGAATCACGAGGGGCAGCGGCCTTCCCACCATGTCCGAGGCGGCGCGGGCCAGCTCGTCGTAAGCGGCGACAAGCGGATCGACCCCTTCGACGGAATCTGCTGCCGAGGGGTGACGAAGCGCCCAGCTGCCGGGCGTGAGGCGGATAGCGACGCCGGCGATGACATCGCGATTGCCAACAGTGTCCAGCACCTCTTCGACCGCGAGTCTCCGAGCGACCGCGGCGTCGCTCCCTGCGGCGTCGTACGAGCCATTCCGATGCTCAATAATCGGAGTTGGAGCGTCGAATCTCAACACGGGCAATAGTTGTAAGCCACGGCGATCGAGTTCCAGCGCAATCAGGTGCAGGAGCTCACGCCGCGGAGTGTCGGCGGAGCCGTCGGACCAGACGCCGAGGTCGTAGCGGGGCGTGGTCCACAATCGGCTTGGGTAAAGAGCCCCGCCGGACTGGTTGACGGGAACGGCGGCGGCGCTGGCGCCGGCGGCTTGGACGCGGTCCGCCAACGCGGTCGCGGTCTCCCAGTAGGTGACGAGGTCGGGCTGTTCGAACGCGCCCAATTCACTCCGCACGTGGCTGGCGCCGAGGGCATGCGACAAGTTGGCCTCTGGCCAGTCGAGCGCGATGATACGTCCGGTTGCAAGACGCTCAGTCGCAGGTGTTAGCGCTTCGATACCCCGCGACTTCAGGA